ACGTATACATACATATACGTACATATACGTACATATACATACATACATGTATACATATACATATACATATACGTATACATATACATATGCATATGCATATGCATATACATATGCATATATACATATACATATACATATACATGTACATATACATATACATATACATATACATATACATATACACTTACTTACTTACTTACTTACTTACTTACTTACTTACTTACTTACATTAACATCGGTTATTACATAGACAGAGAAAGAGAGCCTTCTCCGATGCATCCGAGGAAGAAGTGCGCTCTCATCTCCAAGTCCGCCGGCGGCATCGGAGTTGCGATCTCCAACGTCCGAGCTAGTGGCTCCTACATTCGAGGAACCAACGGCTACAGCAACGGCCACCTGGAGATATGCGAGGGGGGGTGTGTTTCTGAAGATCGGCGGATTCATCTTGTTTACAGCAATTAGGGGATCTTAAAAAGGGTATGGATCCTTTCATTTGGGGATTATATTTGGATCCCATATTATGTTCACTGGGATCATCAGGGTTGCTTTGGGCAGTGGGGTCTGTGTACTTGGGCGTTCAGGGGCCTAGTGACCAAGTGTTCAGTTCCCTTAGTGTGAGCACGAAACCGACAGCCGAAGATCTGCAGAGGAGCACTGATTTCAGTGCTAAGGGGCTGGTGGCGGTGCAGGGCTTCGATAGGTTTTGGGGATTTATTGATTGGGGTGTTGGACAATGTTTGCTCTTTTGCAGTTTCTTCTTCCTGTTGAAGGTGTCAGGGCGGTTTTGATTAGTAGTCATCTGGAGTTCCAAACCGGATTCGTGAAGGGGGATGTTAAAATTATCTACACAAACTGGCCAAATGGCCCCCCCAAGCTTAAACACCGAAATCCTCAACTCCTTGCGAAGCCACTAAGCCCTTCCGAAACCCTACGGTTTAGGGTTTAGGATTTAGGGCCCTGAACCCCAAGCCCTGAGCCGCGGAATCCTACTTGCTTTCACAACCGAGGCCTTGTCCCGCTGCTCAAGAGCTTTGCTTGAACTCATACGGATCTCTGAGATTGAAGTGTCAGGGTTTAGCAGCTTTAGGGGTTTTAGGATTTAGGGTAGAGTGTGTTGGGTTTAGGGCTTAGGGTCCAGGGTCTACAGTTTTGGGCCTGTTTAGGATTTCAGTGGCGACGTTATAGCTCTATGATGGTCTCGGTTCTAAAATACATAAAGTTACTAAGGCCTCTGCATGAACCAAGATCCGTCAGGATTTTGGAGTTTGTTTGATGGCTGAACAGGGTTCGAACCGGGTTTAACAAGTAGCAGCATAGGGAGTTTTAAATTGGGGTTCAAAGAGGGTGGCATAGCTTTCCTGAACAGGGTAGGCAATCCTGATGGCATCATAAAAAAATTCGCACGGGTGCAGCAGGAGCAGTAGTAGCTGCAGAGTTGTAGGAAATGTGGCTTGGAGCCATCGAGTTCTTCGAGTTTGTGGCTCCAGTTCCGCCCCAATCACTGCGTACTACGGCGAAATGTTGGTGGCAAGTTGTCGGATGTCGGCAATTGATCTGAAGTTGTGGGCCGTGGGCTCTCATGAAGGAGTCACCATACCTTAAACCCAAAGCCCATAAAACGCTCTCTTCGGCTGCGACTGCCTTCGAAGCTCCACACCCCAAGATTAGGCCTTCGCGCACTCAAACCCGAGCCTCGAGCTTAAAGCTTCCCTGCACTTAACCCAGGTCCCATGGGCCTAAACCCTTAGCTTTGAAGTGTCAACTGTGGTCAACCCTATAAACCCCAAGCCCAAGTTCCCAAACCTGCTGTAATGTAGAGGCTTAAATAATTACTAACATGATTCCTCAAGGGTTCCTTATTTTAGTCATTCTATAAAGGAGCCCAAAACCCTGTTCTGATGAAGGCCCTATACTACTTACGCTTGCAACCCGTGGTCTGCCTTTTTGGGAGCCTTGCGAGGAACTTCAACGAGACTGCTCGTTACGTAGACCAGGGCGGAGGCAGCCCACTCGGAGCCGTAAATGCTAGTCCTGCAAGGTCCTTCAGCCGAAACTGTGGGAATTTCGAAGGACTGATTTTCTTCATATTTCAAGCAGAATCACGGGCAGAGGTGGTACTGCTGTAGTAAGCAAAACTGTGACAAAGTTTTGCCGCGGCACCGGTGGAAGCGACAACTGCAACAGTCGTGGGTAATCGTGGCCACCATCAACATCACGGTCATCCTCGTCATCATGATCGTCTTTACACGGTGCCTGATTGGAGTGGCTGTTTAGAAGTAAATCTGCAAGCAATAACCTCAAACGTCCTACTCAGACCGCAAATAGCACGGCTGTCACAACCCCACAAGGACTGAGTGACAAGGAAGATTTCGCTAAGTCCGGTGTAAACTAGAAGCCTGAATACCTACAAGCAATATTCCTTTTGGTTCCTTATGATCAAACAAAGACTCTACAAGCATATAGCCTGAACCCCTAACTCTAAAACCACATACCCACAAAGCCCTTCATCCTGCAGCTCCAAATGTGGAGCCCGCAAAGCTGGAAGCGCGGAAACGCTCAAGTAGTAGTAGTAGTAGTAGTAGTAGTAGTAGTAGTAAGCATGCTTACCTTGAAATCCGTCACCCCCAAAGCCAGACACCTATTGCCGAAAAATCGTTCGCGTCCCTCGCGTCCAACGAACCATTGATAAGTTCTGAGGGTCTGAAGGAACTAGCTGGAAAGCCCGTCCCTAAACTCTGAACACTCTTAAGCTCAGAGCTTTCAAGTCTAAACCCCGGAAAGCCAAAACCCTGAGCCTAAACTCGGTCAAGGTTTAGGGTTTTGGCTTTATATAACGAAAACCCGGGAGGCAAGCGAAAAGGCTCCTTCGCCATGTATTTGGAGCCCTGGCACGCTGACGTCCTCGAATTCCTCGAGCTTCGGAAGACCCCCGCCGGTTTTGGATACGAGGGTGTTTGGGCTTTAGGGTTGAGGGGTTTGGGGTTTGAGGCTGTTTGGGGTTTGGGATGTTCAGCTTTATGGCTCCGGGTTTGGGGCTGCTTGGAGAGGTAGTTGGGATTGGATTTCGCAATTGAAAAGTATGAAGGCGTTTTAAGTTTCAGGGGTCGTGGGAGCTTGGGGTTGAGGTCTCGGCTGATCAGAGGATTGGGGAGCCTTCCTGCTTAGGTGTGAGGTTCAGGGTTTAATTCTGTTCAGGACTCACACTCTCAAAAACTCTGCAAAACAGTAGCTTACGAGCCCTTAATCATGGGATACATCACGGAAGCCAGCAGGAAATGGACCCCCGAACCCTAAACCCGAACCCGAAAGTTGGTGTTTGTGTCTTCCTCTTGTTCCGTTTATCCTTCAAGTGGAATCCTCCTCCAAGTCTGCAGTTCGGGCCTCTACGCAAGTCTGCCCACTTTTGTTTTCAGCCTGGCCCTCTGAACCTTAAAACCTCAAACCCGAAACAGAGCCGTAACATTTCTGAACCCGAAACTGACACGTACAGCGCTGCAGGAACCACGGGAAGGAGGAGCAGCGTGCCCGTGACCTGTTCTACGGCCTCTGGATTCCGGACCTCTTTATGCAGCGCGTGAAGGAGACATTGAAGCCTGCAAGTTCGGGGCTTATAGGGGTTTGCCATAACTCTATGTAGATAGATAGATAGATAGATAGATAGATAGATAGGTAGATAGAGAGATAGGGAGATAGCGAGGTAGATAGATAGATCGATAGATAGGTTGTGGTATAGGGCTTAGGGGCGCAGGATGTGGGGATTTAGGGTTGGCAGGCTTGGGGTGTGGGTTTGGGGAAAGGTCACCACCCCCAAACAGAACACTGCTGAAGGCAACAAACTGACACATACCAATGTTGCTCGCTCACATTTCGAGGACTACGACTGGTAGTACGAGTAGCAATAGAAAGACGGAATAATGATTCCTGTTCAAGAGCCTACACACGCATTCAATGCGGTTCAAGGTCTGTGCCGCTCCGCGCAATAGGAAGTTCCCTGATGGTTCCGCCTTAGTCAGTCATAGGGGGGTTTCAGTTCAAAGTTAAGCTGCCGATGCATCCATATAAGTACCCTAAACCCTAAGCCCTTAAGTTTCATGGAAGGCAGGTTCTTCGCTAAGTAGGAAACAGGTTGGATCGACACCCTCAATTCAAGAAGCAGTCGTTGAACAGGGCCGTTGAACAGACATCCCAACATAGGGGCCGTAGAACTGAGAAGAGGTCTTTCGATTCGGGCTTCGCAAGTTAAAAGAACACGACCCCAGAGCCCCAACAGAGGTAGTGCCAGAGGCCCTTTAGCTAGAAGCTTCAGAGGCTCACTTC